CAACAACAACAATGACACCACCACCACCACCACCACCACCACAACAACAACAACAATGACACCACCACCACCACCACCACCACCACCACCACAACAACAACAACAACAACAACAACAACAACAACAACAACGACACCACTACTAGCACTACCATCCCTACCAACAACAGCACCACCGGTAGCACCACCACCACCACTACCACCACCGCCGCCGCCGCAGCAGCAACAACAACAACAACAACAACAACAACAACAACAACAATCACACCACTACTAGCACCACCATCCCTACAAACAGTTATGCCTGTCACAATATACGCGGCTCGCGGCTATAACACATGCAGCAGACCTCGATAGAGCATTTCACCCGACCGGGACTACCGCCCACTCTCGATGATCGGTCATCGTAAATGTCTGCCCGATAGACCGAGGGCAAGCCGAGGAATGTTGGATAATTTCACACGACCATTTGTGCGACCACATGCGTAGAATTCACACGAATAATGACTCGTCGTACTAATGTATGCTCGCCAGGTGTCGCCAAAAAAGTTGTTGAAGCGAGTCGGCGTGAAACCAGCATCGGACGGCGACGACCGGATCGAAGGTATAACACGTGGTTGTCTTGCACCTTCATCTAATAGATTCTACACTATCTATACAATATCGGCGTCGATACCTCTCTATACAAGTTGCATCCTCATTCGTTCTTTCATTGCTCGTTCAGATCGTAATCGCTGCACATTCGTTGACGTCCCGACAGTTCGTCTTCCCTTCGTTCTGTCTATCGCGGAAATCTCTCGATAAAAAGGTCCACCTTATGTGCATCATCGATCGCAGCGTGGGCGCTGACGACTGTAGCGCTGAGTGTGTCTCTCCCCATTGCAGACCAGGAGTGGATGTAGGCAACACGACGACATTGCACCGCGAAGCAGACGACGTGATACTACGCTACGAGATGCTGAGCGGAACTTTGTGTGGTGCGCCTAAGCTGCTGCAGATGCATGTTGATAGATGCGCACGCACGTACGCACGCACACACTCACGCACATACAAATTTACGTACGCACGCACACGCTCACACTAACTTACGTACGCATGCACGCACGCATAAGGATGATGCTTGATGCGTACATGGAGAGAGAAGAGAGAGAAAGAAAGAGCAACAAAAAGAAGGGAGGAATTAAAAGAGAGAGAAAGAGAGGCAGAGAATTAGTGAGAGAGAGAGAGAGAGAGAGGAGAGTGAGAGTGAGAGAGAGAGAGAGAGAGAGAGAGTGGGGAGAGTGAGAGAGAGGGGGAGAGCGAGAGAGAGGGGGGAGAGTGAGACAGATAAAAAGAGGGAGACTGCATATATTGCATGAACCTATTATAACGTTATTTATGAGTGCATTTGTCAGTAGTCGCTGCTGTTTATTAATATCCCTGTATTCTATAGTCCATTATCTAATCCAGTTATATACACCTAAATACACACATGCGTACAATGCCACCGTACATTACAATGTTGCAGATATCACGTGTCATTATGCTATTATACTCCTTAAATTTTATTTACTATGAACAAAATAATAAGACAACTTGATGTTATTTATTTCTGTGTACATTGATTTTATTATCTTACATAAGTTATACCTATATTGTGGAATTAAACACAATCCAATTGTTATTAACGACATTTGTTGTAGTGTTTCCACCTGTTCTGTTTGTTTATAACTCCTGAAATCGCAAATAAAATCCAATGTGCATTAATTTGATATATATACGAATCAAAGGGGAAGTAGACATTACAGAACGACAATTACACTGACAATTACAATTCAAACAGCTATAGGTCTTCCAGACTACCATAGCACTTACAGAGCATGATGAGGCGAATGCTATATAGAATTTTCAGACTATCGTCGTACTTTCAGAGTATCACTGGTATTTTATACTACTAGACTATACAGTCGTACACGTACTCGAATGTGACGTAGAATTACTAGTCTACATACAACAAAATGTTGGCTTACAATCAGTGTTGTAGGTCTCGAGGCTGATCTTGGCCTCGAGACCATTTTCCTTGGTCTCGGTCTCGGTCTTGGCCTCGGAGTGCAATGACTCGGACTCGGACTCGAGTCGGAGGACTCGATGACTCGGGTCGAGGCCGGCTCGAGGCCACTACATACATAGTACACAACTGTACATATTGTAACACGCAGTTTACAAGAATTTAAAACTAAAACTCCTAGGTTTTCTAGATACACGGCCTAATCTTGTAACGTTTTCAATGGCTCGATTAAGATTCTTGTCACTTTGGTTTGAATCTTCTGTCACTTCGTCCCTTTGCGCTTTTTCTACCACTTTCTTACCACGTCATCTATATGTAGTATCGTAGGATTGTGTTTGATTAGGCTGAAGTAGCTTTCATAATATTGTGTTTTTGTTATCTATCGACGCAACACCCTGACACTACCCTTAAGGCGACTACCTCGCACATGCCAAACCGTAGAACCTGGATCAGGAAGATAGGAGACCCATCCTTAGACTGATAGAGGGTCAGAATTATCCATCGATGTGCTTTCCTTAGAGGATTGATGGACCGGATGGATGGATGAGATGGGATGGGTGGACGGACGGACAGGCGGACGGACGGATGGAGTGATGGATATAAAATACACACACATGCACGCACGCACACGCACATGCGCACACAACC